CGGGACTAAGTTCGGAATGGCACCCAGGCTAACAAACCGCAGGCACCAGGATAATAAAATTGAACATATTTTGCCGTCAACATTTTAAGTTAATTCAGGCGTTAATAAACTGTTCCAGAGGAGTGGTCATAGGCATGCTGTAGGAACCAGAGCCAGACACCATTTAGCAAAAACATGGAGCAGCTCTGGTCAGAGGAAATCCGACAAATAATGGAGCAAAACAATAAAGTTCACTGACTATGCCCTGGCTACATCCTGGCTTCTTTCCATTGTTTACTTTCCTGATATCTGTCTCACTGGTGACATCATCACAGCTAACCCAGCGTGATAATGTTACCAGACACGCAGCCGTGGGGGGGCACAGAGGCCATGCAACTGCCAGCATGCTTTTTCTTTGCCAGTGGAATGGGAGCCAAATGCCAATTGTTAGCGAGTCGACCCATGTTTGAAAAACACGCTTAAACGCGTTATTTTCAGTGGAAAAGATGCTTTTGACTCAAAGCCTCCTCATTGGTTTCTGTTCGAATCTTTCTGGTTTAATCTCTTTAAGTTTATTCAAATTGAAACAGCTCAGGGAGGAAATCATCTTATTTGAGATACCACATAAAACAATAAATTGGAAGTGATCTAAGCTTAAACTGGATCTAGATCATCACCATCAATCTGTTTGCTTCGTACAACCGGCTCCCGTTCTAATGGAGCTCTTCCTCAGGCGTAGGAATCCACTTTTCCAGGAGTTACAGAACCGGTTCTGTCCAGTTTGGTAGATTGTGTTTGGCTTCTCTAAGACCGTTTCTCAATATGTGTACTTGTCCGTTCTCATGGGCTCGTGTTTTTATGAAACGTCATCAGCCCTAGTACTGTTCCAATTCATAAGAACAGCAGACAGGGAAAGGACAAAGTCCCCATCATGCATCAGAGCAGACTTGTCCGTTCTTGAGACACAGCTATCCCAGCATGTACCGCGGCAGCAGCTTCCAGGTTAGCGCTCACAGAGCTCCGAGTATAAAGTTAAAAGTTCTCTTTTCTGTTGCCGTTGTTATATAAAAGTATTTGAAACGAGAACATTATACTTCTTATTGGTAATTTTTGTTTTTACGGCTGACAGGAAAAGGGGTATGAGAGAGGGAGAGAGACATGCGGCAAAAGACCACAGGCCGGATTCGAACTCAGGTCAGCCGTGTCGAGGACTAATGCTACGTTCACACCGGACGCAGCAAAAGCTGCAAAATCGCGTCTGCTGCTTCATTTTTGCTGCTTGTACCAGTTAG